CATGAGCTGCTGCCTGTGGCTCTAGGGGTGGGGCTGGGGCACACTATCCAGTGCCTCCCCTCCCACCACAGCTGTTGGGAAGAGGTGTATCCTGCCCCGCCTCAGCCAACCAGTGCCAGGCAAGGGTGGGGTCTCCTCCCTACCACAAAAGAGTGTTTTGCAGTGCAGCGGAGGTGGAGGGGGTCATGCGGTGCAAGGTTTCCTCCCAGCCACAGAACAGTGCCTCTGTGGCCAGGAGGAGACACTGCACCTGCCTAGTGCTGGTTGGCTGAGAGATGCAGAGGATACGCTTCTCCCAACAGCTGCTGCAAAAGCAGTGTACTCCAGCCCTAGCCCTGGCCCTGGGAGCCGCCGTGGCCCAGCAGCTAGAGGACCATGGCCCGATAGATGGTGCTCGGTTCTGCCAGGAGTGCAAGGGACTGGACTTCGTGACCTCTCAAGGTTCCTTACAGTTCTATGATTCTACAAACTGACCAGGCATATCAGAGATTTTTTTTCTTAAGTTTAAAAAAAAATCACTGATTTGTTCCTCCTCTGTTTTGAATATCTGTCAACTGAGGTAAACATTAACATTATTTTTGGAGACACATGATATTTCAAGATTTCAGAAAATATCCCTAATAAAAGTGCTTTAGGGTGACCAGACAGCAATGGTGAAAAATTGGGAAAGGGGTGGAAAGTAATACATGTTTATCTAAGACAAAGCCACAAATACCAGGACAGTCCGTTTAAAATCAGGACATCTGGTTACCCTAGAACTAGTCCACAAATGGATCTGTGGAGATGGACCATTAATGCCTCCCTTATGTAGCAAGTATGAAAGTAGAAGCCTCTATATAAAAATCGAAGTTTTGCCAGTATTTCTCCAATGTTTTGCAAAAAACCCAGCTTTTTTGATGATGGTGAAGGGTAATATTTTTCACAGAGTTAAATATTTATGTATTAATTTATATTTTACTCTCACTGTCAGGATTACTATCAAGATGACAATTTATTTGGAGCTGAATCTGATTACAGATTAATAGATTTTAAGGCCAAAAGGACTGTTATATTACCTTGTCAGATCACCTCTATAACACAGGCCAAAGAACCACACACAATTTCTGTATCAAGCCCATAACTTCTGTTTAAGTTATACACTTTAAAAACGTATAGTCTTGACTGAAAGACTTCAGATGAAGATGAATCCATCATACCAAACACACAGGTGGGCAATAACTGGCCTTCGGGCCAGATGCTGTTTGTCAGGGCTAATTACTGATGTACCATCAGATACTCTGTTTACCTGAGCATCTGCAGGTACGGCTGCTTACAACACCCATTGGCCAAGAACTGCAAACTGTGATCACTGGGAGCTACGAGCAACCATACTTACAGACGCTCAGGTAAACAAAGCGTCTTGCAGCCTGCCAGTAGCTAACCCTGATGAATCATGTCTGACCCATGGCCTGGTTATTGCCCACCTCCGATTTATCATTCCCCACATTCATCCTTATTTTCTCTAACTTCTCCTAGAACAGTACAGTAAGTTGCGGAGACTATTCTAATGTTTATCTAACACTACTCTAAAAATTTGCGTGGAATCAAGTTTACTTTTGAAATACATTTACCTTGAAATAATTAAAACAGTAAAATAATAGCTAATCATAGCCCAGATTGGAATGTGTAAATTATCTTCAACAGGACAGATTGAGAGATACCTGCCCTAGAAATACTCCATGCCCCAGTAGTTAGTTACAGTGCTTTCTTGGGAGGGAGGAGTTCAAATCCCTGTTATATATCAAGCAGAGCAGATATCTCAGCCTGCATCTCCCATAGCCTGAATGAGTGCCCTAACCATTGAGCTAAGAGTTACAAGTGGAGGCCACATTGCCCACCACTTTTCCCTTCTGGATGTTTTGTGAATCTAGCCCTTTAAAAATGCCCAGGAACAATTACACGTTTCATATGATCCAAGAGGGACTTTTTTTATTTGCTGAAAAATGTTGGGATGTTTGGATTCAGTTCAATGCAAACCAATTCCTCTCCTCCCCTCCCCCAGTTTTCAGAACTGCCAAGTAACCCAAAAATCAGTTATTCGCCCATCTCTAGCCACATATTTCTTCTACCTTGGCAAATAAATCAGGATATCATTTCAATCAAATCTAGAAATGCCCATGACAGCTAGATAGTTCAAAGTGCGCCTATGATACCAGTGAGTAGTTATCCAAAACAAAGGGGCCCGCATTTTTATAACAGCAGCAATTACGTTTTTATAACTGGAAATTTGTTCAATTGGTTCCTGAAACTAGGGTTCAGTGGCAGAAACTCTGTGCATATACTCACATGAATGTTTCCTTTCCATCCTACTGAGAAACAAATGGGTTTATTTAGTGGGAGCATGACAGTTATGAATCCTAAAGAAATTCTGAAGGAAAATTTGTTATCTGGTAATTTCCAATCTAGAAATAACATTCTCCCCAACTCTCTGAATTGATTTACCTGCTCTGTAATAATAGTGGAAACAGGACAGCTTTGTTGTTGAGGTGCTTTGGAGATAAGCCACCTCCTAACAGGTTTAGAAACACTGAACACAGTGGTTCTTACCCCTCCTTTTTTTTTTTTTTTTTTTAATTTGGAGCTCTAAAGCTAAGTCTACGTTGCCACTTTACTGTGCTTCAACTTTCTGGCTCAGGGATGTGAATCTCCCATGGAGCCAGTTACAGCACTCTAAAGTATTAGTGGTAAACAGGCTCCCAGAGCTGTTAGCTAGTCCTTTGGTGAAGGTGGTTTAAAGTGAAAGTGCTGCCATGGCTACATATTAATTTTAGAAGTGTAGACAAAGCCTAATTTGTAATGAATTTGAATGTAACGCCCTATGCCCCCAAAGCTCTTGCTGAATTTCACCTGTTCTCTGTCCATTTTCTCTCCCTTCCTTCTGGACTGTTTTTTAAGGTCTCCTTTTCCCTTTCTAATTAATTTTCTGCGTTTCCTCTTCATGTTTTCAACTTGGTTTTCTTTCTACCCGGTTATTTCCCTAAATCTTTTCTCTTTGCTTTTCCGTGAAGACTAAGTTCTCAGTCTTTCCTCTTTCTGCTCTACAGTTTAGTGTATAACCTGTATTCTGAGCAAAAATCGTGCAATGCTAGACGAGGCTGAGAAACCTACAATATTACTGCTGAGAGTTAGCACTTGGCACACCACATTTTGTAATACTGGTGTGTGGTATCATCACTGAGAAAGAAGAAAAGTAGTCTCCTAAACGTACTATGTTAGGTGTTCCCACACTTTCATACTGTGGCTCTCTCAAGTTGAGACTGCATGGACTCTTCTTCCTTTCCACCCTCAGTGATCACATATTATCTCTGGCTATGTCTAGACTGCAGGCTTCTTTTGAAAGAGGCTCTTTCGAAAGCATCTTTCGAAAGAGCCTCTTTCGAAAGATCGCGTCTAGACTGCAGGCGGATCTTTCGAAAGAGAAATCCGCTTTTTCAAAAGAGAGCACCCAGCGAGTCTGGATGCTCTCTTTCGAAGACGGCCTCTTTACATTGAAGAACGCCTTCTTTCGAAAGAGGAACTTTCGAAAGAAGGCGTTCTTCCTCGTGAAATGAGGTTTACCGCCATCGAAAGAAAAGCTGCGTTCTTTCGAAATAATTTCGAAAGAACGCGGCTTGAGTCTGGACGCAGGGGAAGTTTTTTCGGGAAAAGGCTACTTTTCCCGAAAAAACCCCTGAGTCTGGACACGGCCTCTGTGGGGATAATAGTTCATATAAAATATATTATGAATGTCTTTGTAAGCATCTTTTAGTACAATTTAGAAGCTGGAAATAAGGAAGAGAAGCCAGCATCATGTGACCAATCATTTCTCTTTGGACCATTGGCAAACATTCCATTGACAAAGAATGCTCTACTGGCCATAGTTAGCAACCCACTGTCATATAATATTACCTCATTGTTATATATTTAGTTACAGACTAACACTACTACCTATTTGAGACTATCACCCCAAGAAATAAATCTCAGGTATACTAGGGAGTGCTTATTTGTGAAGTCACAAAATAGCAACTCAGCAGAAGATAATAAACATCCGACTTTTTTAAAATCAATGTCTGAATTTCTCACTTTGTAAACTGATTTTTAAAAGTGACCAGAAAAGCTAAACTGAACCTGAACATTATTTTAAAATGGAAAGGGCAGAATGGCTGACTGTTCTTACTCATGAACCTGTTTTTAGCTACTTCAATGGGTCTTCTGAGCTTTTTTACTATTCACTTTTATTAAACAGAGTTGAAACTGAAAGCCTTCCCTGCTTCCTCTTCTTCAAGATCAACAATCCGTATGATGGGAATAAAGTGGCACATGTCTCTGAACTGATTTCGTTTCTTAAAAAAAAGTTTCACCACTTCCATTAGTCCCTATTTACAGGGATCACTTTCACCTCTCCATTTCTTTTTGAAGTGCCAAAGACAGATACCATTTCCCTTTCCTTTGGAAAGGGTCTTGAAAACACTGCCCACCAATCCTGGCTTTGAATTATTCAAACCTATTCTGCTTTCTAGTATCCAAATCTATGTTGATTACTTCTTTATAACTACTGACCTATAGTTTTGTCCAGAAAAGCTTGCTGATCAACAACAGAATATTTTATTGACCAATGAAAATTATTTCTCATATGACAGAATTTATTGCCACATTTTGTCTTAATGGTAACATTTATTTGAAGCCAGTAACCAGAACTCACATGAAAACAGCAGTATATCAACTCTAGCGAAAATATGTTGTGAAAGAATTATTTTGTTATCCAAAACACTTCTTTTACTTTTCAAAACATCTAAAACTATCCAAACAGGATAGAAATATTTATTTCTGAAGAGCATAAAAGCTAATGTTTCCTCTTTATTTTGAAAAGAATGAATCAGAGGCACAACTTGGCCAAAACTTAACCTTTCCCTCTATTTTTTTTTCTGCCACATCTACAGGAAATAGATCACCAAAACAGCTGGAATGAATAGATCTTTTACCTCCCAGTGGCTGAACACCAGCTGCGGACTGGCCAGGCCACTTGTTCTCTTCCTGATTTCATCAGCAAACCCAAAGCTTTCTGCTACTGGCAGCACTGCCTTAATAATAAACATGTCAGTCCCCTCTTTCATCTCCTCTTGTAATACGCGGCCTTCTCTTTTGGACAAGACGGCATATACACGACCTGCAAAGGCATAAGTCTTATTACTTTACTGAGCCTTTCACATCCTCTGCTTTAAGGCAAACATAATTATTTATTGAAATACTGTATACAGGATATATTTTCGATGACTTGGTCACTTTCCTGTAAGATTGTAGGTGGATTAAAATCATACAAAACATAAATTTGTTAATTAGCAAGAGATGCAAATCCACAGTATATACACATATTTAATAAAATTACTACTACCAAGTGGTTGCTATACTTGCGTACATTTTATGACAATATTATGCATATTTCTCAAAGGCACACTGCAGTAAAGAAATCATTAAGCTTGAATGATTTAAAGTGTATACACTGAAAAGAACATATCAGTGTGATGTCAGACATTTTATTGGTAATTATCCCCATTGTCGAGTCAACTCTGCTGTTTCTAGAAAGTTCTCTCTCACTTCTGACTCCTTGTTACTTATTTCACACACTGCATCAACATTCTGCACACACAAATATATACATGTAAAAATTACATTATTATAAAATGAAATGAAATCCTTCAAGGCCAAAGCATTAGGCTTTCTGTGGGGAACTTGCAGAGCCTGTGAGGTGGTGAAATCTAACCTACAGATAAGCCCTATGAATGGGAACAATGGTTAGTGAATCTTTCCAGCCTCACTACAATATCTGCAGGCCAGTAGATTCAAATAAATGTAGATCTAATAGCACTTGCCTATCACCTCCAATGATATTTTCTATTCTTGCCCATGATCTTGCCAGGACATTATCCCTCCTACTGCACCCCTCACATGGTTCTCTTCATCTAGGTGAATTTCACTGTTACTATACAGGTCTAAATGGTGAAATCAGACACAAAAAGGTCAGAGCATTTTCTAGACAAACATACTCGGTGTGGAATGCATATATGAGATTTGCTGATATAGGCTAATCAATTTCAAATCTAAGAAAACCTTGAGAGCATCTAGGGAATTCTGAAACAGTAAAAGGCTGTATTTTTTATACAGCTCACAACTGTACACTACAGGTTGGACCTCCCGGGTCCAGCACCCTCAGGACCTGACTGATCTTAGATGAAGGATTTTGCCGGACCAGGGGAGGTCATATCTAGCCCCCCTGCTACCAGCCCCTCCACTGGCCCGGCAGCTGCCAGCCTCCTGGTCAGCTTTCCCAGTGCTGATGGCCTCACTGTGCCCTGCCGGACTTCTTCCTTGCTAAACCAGGCAGCCCAGCTCCAATCCAGCTCCCTGTGTGCTGGGCTCCAGGCCACATCTAGCAGCCCCGCTGCAGTGCACTGGTCTCCTGGATGTGCTGGGTAGCACCACTGCAGTGCACTGGGCTCTTGGATGCACCAGGCAGCCCTGCTGTGGTGCGCTGGACTCCTGGATGCACCGGGCAGTCCTGCTGGATTGTACCTAGCTGCAGGTGCTAGGCAACCAAGCTGCAGGGAGACCAGCTGTGGGAAGCCCAGCCACCAGCCTTCCACTGGGACTCTCTGGTACTAGAACATTTGTGGTCCAGCTCAGGGAGTCCCAGTTAACAGAGGTTCAACCTGTACTTTAAAACACAAGCTTAGACATGCACACACATTGCACAAGATCATTATCAAGGTCACTGGAAATATTCATGGTAACATGCAGAATTTATTAAAAACGAACTGTTAAAATAAGTAAGTTTCCAAATAGATTACAGGATATTAATATTAGTTTTAAAATATTTGTTTTATTCCTTTTGTTTTAATAGCAGAGTTGAAACCTTGAACACGCATACACCAGATATTACCAGCACCATTTATTAAAAGGAACTAGTCTGTCAAGCATAGTGGAGAGGCACATGTTGAGCTGTAGTCTTGGCCAAGTGTTACTGGAGTCTGTTTTCCCAAAACAGTGAGAAGAGTGAGAGAAAATTGAGAGAAAAGTGAGAAGAGATTTTTTTTTCAGCTCACTAAAGGTTTTTCAATTATATGCTACTTCATTCAAGTAGCATCGATTGTTGCTGAAGTCACTGGTGCCACAGAGACATTATCTGAGAATCTGATTCTAAAAACCAAAACTGTTCTTTGGGAGAAATCCTGAAACCTCCCTCCACCTCGTTTTGGACTACACTGGATGGAGATTTGGGGTGGGTGAGGGAGTCAGGATATTGGATGCCAGAAGGGCTTGTGTGTAGATCCTCTGGATGCTGCAGAGCCTGGCCCTTGAGGGGAGCTGGGGTAATCTGAATCACTGGAAGATGTGCTGAGGGTAGGCTAGAGAATAGTACAGTGTTTTACCGAATAGGTTAAAGTACTGGCAATAGAGGGTCCAATCACAGCTCCATGCCTACCGGCAGGTTGGTTTCTAACCTGTGCTAAGCTATCTTTTTCTCTGGTTGTGTATGCACATGTGCCTTTATGTATGCAGGAAACACTTTTTTAATGTCTAAATATCTGAAAAAGGAAATGTATTCTGAATTCATGCAATAGAGCAATATTGTGATACTGCAATACATCAAAAAGTATGAATAAGGTATAATTTACTTATACATCTGCACTTAATGAAGTTCAACTCTTTAAAAATAAAGATGCCATAAAAGTTATAATGTATCTCTTAATAGCTATATGTACAGTAAATAAGGAATTAACATGAAACTGACTATTCACGCTCTATGAGGTGAACAGAATTGCATGCTATATTTATAAACAAGTTAGAGCTGTAAAGAACAGTACCAATGTTTATGTTACCAGTAGAACAGTGTTATGGTAAAATAATTTCTCTCAGGTCAGCAAAATTCAAGACAGAAATTTGCCAGAAGAAAAAAAAAAAAGAGAAGGATCAACAGCCTAAACGAGAAATATCTTACCTGATCATTTTCTTGCGTTAGCAGCTTCTCTCAGAATTCATTACTAATGGGCTAAAGTCCCATCGCCCATCTATGGAACAAGTGGGGGACAGAATTGGTTCAATATTGTTGGTGGAGGCTCTGAGGCTAAGCTCTGCCCTTCAGCACAGGCCACAGGAAGAGTTTTTCCATAGCTGTTTTTCAGCAGCCAATTAGCATAAAGACAATTTGATATAATGCATTAAATTAGCTTTTATATTCTGGTCATTGAATTTGGAGAAAAGGTACTAAAAAAGAAAATTAACAGGTAAGATTCTCATTCTGTTGCACATTGGCTCTCCTCATTCATTACTAACTGGTAATAGTGTAAAGTGAATCACAGAAGAAAGGAGGGGAAGGATAAGCAGAGTTTAATTCTTACAGCAGAAAACAGACAGGAATGGAAGTTCACCCCATACAAAGCAAGTGCTTTATAAACTAAAGAGTTATCTGGGAACCAACCCAATAGAAGCATCCTGCCAAAGGATGCCTCTAGAGAGGAATGGAAACATACTTTGCAAATCTTTCTCAGCCGAGGCTCACACACTTCCTCCCCCCGCCTCTCTCCCTGTGGACTTCTGTGAATATTATTCCAGATGCACAGCACACCAACTGCTGCAGGACTTTTAGATATTGCCTGCAGCAACCTTGAGGCCCAAAGGCATGGGCAATTTGCATACAATGAGATGACCAGGGTACAACTGGCATATGTAATCCATATGCTTGAGATGTCTCTTTTGAATTCTAGAAACACCCATTTATGCCACAACTTTTCACAGGTCAGAACAAAATGATAGAGAAGTTTTTCCCAGGAATTGAGAAAGAGGAGCTTACCTTGAACTGAAGCTATATGGATAACCATTTCCTCATGAGAAAAGCAGCATAGCTATGGCAGTAAACTGCAGAATTTGCCTTTTGGACATAATGGTGACTAGAAAGGACAGCCAGAGGCTTGTCTAATTTGTCATTGTGAAAAACTTGGCAGCTGCTACTCCAAATGAGGATCCAATGTACTTGTCCACAAAATGTTGGTATGGCTAATATCCATGTTTCTAAGGTGCTTCTCTGTGGGATCCAACCAGACTGCCTGGGGAAACGTTAGTGTAGCTGACAACTTTGGATTATATCATCTGCATCTCAACAGCATCCAGAGGTCATAGCACAACTGTGCTAGACTCTGAACAAAGAAAGAGGCAAACCATGCCCCAAAGAACATTTTTACTTCACTCAAGCTCATCTGAAGAAGTGGGTTTTGCCCACACAAGTGATACTTTTACACTCACTCACTCTCGGCTACATCTCTATTACTATCTCTCTGTATATACTTTGTTTCTAAGGTGCCACAGGACCACTCATTTTTAAAGTTACAAATTAACACAGCTAGTCCTCTGAGACTTTCAAAGAACTCTGTTTCTCCTTACACCAAAAACATAAATTTGACCATATCAATGAAAAATATCTTGGCTGAGTTTTAGATACCAAACTGTATCTAAAATAGTCTAATAATTTGTAATGAACTACAGTTCTGATTCCCACACAGTTAGCTGTAGGTGTTCCCAGACTGAGTGTGTCTATACAGCAAAGTTATTTCAGTAAAATGGCCGTTATTCGGAAATAATAATGCGAGTGTCTAAACAACAGAAGCATTATTTCAAAATAATTTTGAAATAACGGGAGGCTTATTCCTCCTTCTGAAAACCTCGTTCTATGAAGAATAATGCCTATTCCGAAATAACTTCGAAATAGGGGCTGTATAGATGCCCCACTTCCACTATTTCAAAATAGCCTCTCACCAGGACCATCCTAACTTATTCCTCCCCAATGCCTCCTGGGGCTCTAAATCAAAATAGCATGTCTACATTAGGGAAGCCTGCCTCAGACTAATTCTGAGGCTTCCCTGCAGGGTAGACGTGCTATTTTGTAATAAGCTATTTCAGAATAACTATTCTGGAATAGCTTATTCTGAAATAAAAGTGCAGTGTGGACATAGCCTGAATGAAGGAGTTCAAGAGGTCTGATGATTCCTGCAAGAGGTCCAATGTTTTGCAGGAATGTGGGATCCTTGGTCCAAGTCCAAAGTGCCTTCTGGGTCAGTGGAGGACTAGGACGACCACCTCAAATCTTCCTTTTCCTCTTTCCTGTATCTTTCACAT